GACGTCTATATCGACAACCAGAATGTGAAAACTCACAGAAGCCATTTGCAGCAGCTGCTCAGGCTGACCGCAGCAGACAAGGAGAAATACAGGAAGCTGACTGAGCAGAGGTGCGTTAAAATTGTGTCGCTCCTCTTTCTTTTTGTTTAAAATTTTCAAAATGCATTTGTTTTGTGGTCATAGAAAAACGCTGCAAAATGAGCGTTTGTTATTTTTAGATTTTACTGTGACTGACTTTTTCTTTTCAAAGGCAACTGCTGCTGTACTCTCAGGAGGTGGGTGAAGACTGCACATCAAATGAAGAGGATCTTTTCATCCTGTGAGTCTTTGACAGCTGGTTGCATGGTTGATAATGGACTTGAGTCATACTCAGACAAGTGCAGTGTGGCCCACGTATTAATGCAGTCGCCTTTAATCTCATCTTAGGTTCTTTATGGAGCTTAATAACCGCATCTTCCAGACCCTGTCAGAGCTAGCAGGAAGCGCCGACCCCACTCTCACCGGTGAGCACGTGAGGGCCATGGGGCTGGATCCCCAGGGAGATCGAGCCTTCCTTGCCGACCTGCTGGAGGTTTATGGTTTCGATGTAACGCTGGTCATAGACAACCTCTGCTGCCCCTGAACCCCATTCAACCCGGGAAGCTCGGAAGCCACTGGATTATATGTGCCTACTAGGGTCACAAATACAAGACTCTGAAGACACTGCCTCCATCCTGGGACTTCATCTGCTCTCTTCTCTTCTGTGTTTGTGTCTCATCTTAACCTGAGACTGTTTCTAACCACTGTGGAAGAAAAGGACACCTAACATTGTGCATTTCTTCACAGTGGGTGATAAACACCAATACTGCTGAGCAGACTTGTCATCTTGTGGCCATTAACATCTTATGTGAGTCACTCCTTGCTGTTTTTGTCAGAACCAGTTTCCTTGTGTGCATACTTGTTTGACTTTGATTAAGTGAGCAGGACTGAATCACTGGATGAAAATGTAAACGATTCTGATGATCGCACCTGCTACTGTAGTGAAGTCACCGGCACTTTGACGTCCACTCGTGGTTTGTCTAAAGAATGGATTTAAGGTTCCTCGAAATGAATTTGTGATATCTTTCCTGGGAAATCACACAGACCTCAGAATAACAGCTGTAATTCTGTTCTTATGTTTTGTTTTTGTCTGACTATTCCTGAAAATGGTTGAGGGGGGGAAAAAAGCTTTTGGATCACGTTAACTGCCTTTGAAAAAGGAAGCAATATGAATCTGAGTGATAAGGGAAAAGCTGTTCTAAGGACCTTGCTCACCTTCACGCACCTTAAACAATATTTAGATATCACAGCGTGCAGGAGATCGACGCATTCTGGAAGTTTTTTGCATTGTTGTACGTCGAAGCTTCTCATTTGTCATAATTGGTGGAAGACTTTTCAATGAATGTGTAACTCTTATTGTGAATGCTGCACCACGTCCGCCACGGGACTGTTTCCCGACACACACAGTCACGCTTAAATTGAACTTTTTATATGCTGTTTTTATGATTTAGTCTGAGCCATCTAGTTCTGGAGCGGGAGCACCTGTAAATGAGCTGTCACATTTTCTTTTTCAAACTACTGTAGAGCCTTGTTCATGAGCAGAAGTTCATACGTCTCTTATATTCTGCTAACTAAAGAGTAATCGATGAA